AAAAATCAAATTAGGATTCATATTCTACCAAATAAGAAAACCATTTTAAAAATTCAACAGAGCACTGGTAGAAATGCATTGTTTAAGAAGACTTAAAGAAAAGCCATTTTGAGAGAATAATTCATTTTGAATGTCAATAATGCTTTTATCTCATTACTATGCACATTAATGGTAACTTCACTAGGGGGCTGACACTGGTGGACTACATCCCCTCACATCTGCAAGGATATTGCAGGAGTTTTCCTACGTATCTTTTTTTCTTTTTACCTCTAACCAATTTCCACTTTTGTTATTGTTTTGGGTTTTTCTGTATGACTGTGTTTCTATGTTATATCCTCTATGATTCTATTATGGAGTGACTTTTCATCGTTAATTTTCTAGCATGAAGTAGGACAAGGAAAATTAGTTGGTTATATCTTTATATTTTCTTTCACAGGTGTCATTTTATTGGCCAATTTTTAAGTATTTCATGAAAAGATTCTAGATGTCAAAACCTGCAGTTAACGTTCCTGTTTAGAAATACACAAAATAATACCTTTGACGTTGGCAACTCAGATGTATTATTCAGCAAAACAGCAATTACTCATTGTTTTGCACTTACATGTTAAGAACTATGCGACACTTGGTGACACAATAACAAAATTGCAAAGTCAATTATATTTAAAATAGACATCCCAATAAAACATACACAACCAACTCCTTTTACTCTTTTTGAGCTGTTTTGTTTCCTTTTTCTGACTGTTTACAATTAAATCGATTATGTGAATGTGAAATCGAAGTAGAATAACTGATTCACACACATCATGAGAAAAGGAAAGTTAGAAAATGGGGAGGAGGTGTAACACAAAGGGAGGTGTATTCCTGAGGGTACCAGAATCCACCTAGGGAGGTGCCAGGATGTTGCATATTTTTGGAAATGTACATCTATGATGTTCTTCTGCAATGTCAATCATGGTGGCAAACTCTGAAAGAGCAGTGTCTGCCACAGTTTCAAGCAAAATTTAGGCTAGACTTCTACTAATAATTCTAAGCAGAGCTAAAGCAATAAAACCCAAGTGGAGTCTCTTTATATCTAAGAAGGGAGGGTTTCAGGTGGGAGTGAGTTGTTTGTTTTTTTTCTGTTTTAATTGCACAAGAAGCATTTTTGTAACTTGAACTTCCCAGTAATGAATTCTGCTTCCCAACCCAGCCTGCAGCCTGAATTGAAGTTCCCATCAGAAAATTAAAATGTTTGTCTGGATAAAATAACTTCTAAATGAACTCTCTATTTCTTTTCGTTTCTTTTTGTATTTTCTGCAATGTAGCCCCTCGCAATGATATTAGTTCTAGTGTGGGAAAATATTATAATTGAGATCTGGTAAGTTATTTGCAGACTTCAAGTTTTTCTTTACACTGTGCTGACATTTAGTACAGCCCTGGTGAGGAAAACAATACTACCATTCATAGCTCTAGACGTAGATTTCAATCGACTTAAGCGGGCACAATGAAACTTGGTCATTCACTGGTTACCCATATTGTGTTCTCAAATTTTCTCTCAGCAAAAGTATAATGACTCAGTATTGTATGGTTGCATAGACAAGGGCTCGGAACAAGAGACACTAGTTTTGTCTGACGGTGTGAGAAAGTCGTGAAGGGATCTTTTCTTCCAGATGGTGTTAAATTCAGCTGCCTTTTTAACATTGGCCTTGCACAGCAATCTGCTGCTCCCCTTTCACAAAGACTGCGCTCGGTTCCCACTAGTTAACATGCATACTCACGCAACCTGCAACTTCACTCCAACTGTTTTACAATGCAGTGGTATGCTAAATAAACTCGATCCGGTTTCTGCCAATGTTAAAACTAGCTTTCAAAGAACTACTTAACTGATATTTACACTTCTTTTGACTTATATGTACATGCCTTTGGAATATTTCAGATTTCAGAGAAATATCACCTTATTATAAGGTCATCGTAGAGATTACCTCGGACATCCTCCAGACCCATGCTCAGATACAGTACCTCTCTTCAACACACACAAATAAAACAAAATGTCAGAAGTCTGATGTGCAATAGAAAAAAGAAAAATTGGGACATGTTGCAGCAAGAGTAGTGGAACAGCAAAAAATAAAATGAAAATAATAACATTGAAATGTATTTTTATTGATCGGTAAGTCATGTAACATTAGTATGGTACAAAGCAAGTTTGATATGACAATGGCAAACACATAATTATAATATTGTTTATTTTCCTTAGACGCTATATTTAACACATTTACATAAAAGACCAAGATGTAAGCAAAAGCTTCAGTAATTTGACTCCATTGAGTGCTTTCAGTAAACAATAGGTTTCCCTAGCAAACATCTTATTGCCTTAATTGAACCTCCTTGAGAAAGAAAACCACACACTTTGTAATGTAAATGTTAATTGTAGTAGACAATGGTTCTAGGTAAATAGCACCCCTGGACATGAACTAAATGAAAGGAATACAGGCACTTAACAATGAAAGGTTGTTTGCACAAACAGTGCTTCAAATGTAAATAAACAAGGGTCTTCTCAACGGTCACTACAGTAGTAAAACTTTGGCACGTGTTCAGCAGCCATAATGAGAATTTACGTTAATAAAGTCTCTCGGAGTTTCTAACGGAAACCAACAGTGGTTTTACAGGCTTCTCCAGTCTGGAGTCTTAGAAGGTGCTGAAGCTACAAAGGAAAATGTAATGCTTTTGGAGAATAACTGCATATTTGGGATTTGAGATTGTCAGTAATCCAGGCCACATGGAAGGTAACAGGCCACTTTTAGGCATTTGCTTACTGCAATGTTTGTATTTATGTTTAATGCCTATCCAAATGTCTGCTCTGACACATGGAGAAAAATGTAAGAACTTTTAGGGAAAGATTACAATGGGGACCTCCAAAGCCCCAAAGTTTCTGCTAAGTATGGTCACTTTGAGATTCAATAAAAATGGCTGTATAGAACGCATCTCACTGGGATTATACCAAACCCACCTCTTATCATACCGCTATTGTAATTAACTTTCTGTATGTAGGCTGATGATTTTATAGTTTTACTTCCAGTGTGTGTCTACTAGCATAATCACGCCAAGTTCCTAGCTGTATCATGTTAGGGGGGTAAACAGCCTGGGGAAGTGATAATAATGTCTGTTGCAGAGTACACGTTTTTAGATATAATCCACCCAAAGCAAGAGCCCAAAGGTGATCACAAGGCCAAAAGTACAGACTGAGAATTTTGACGTGAAGGGCAGGCAGAAACGGGACTCTCCTGGAACTGCTTTCTCCTAGCTTTCCTAAAATATTGAAAATCTGAACCCAAGAAGAAAGCTGAACTTAATTATGGCCAGATTAAACAGTGGTCATAAAATTAACAGAAACAGACAGTATGCAGCAGCTACAGACCAGTTGGTGCTACCATTTGGGAGGCTGCAGATGGCTGTGGGTGGGAAATGCCTCCACTTTCTTAAGCGATGGAGATGAGTATGGTGTGTGCACTTGATGTTTTTTTCATGCCCCCACCCCCCAACAGGGCTGTCTGTCATAGGCTGCCGGGCCCGCTTTACCACTTGCCCCCGAGCGTGGGAATCGGAGCGTCCTGCCGTTCACATCTCCTGCATTCCGTTTATCGGAATCAATTAGGCAAGACAGACCCTCAGATTCCCCACCCCCTTTCCATTTTTGTCAGGTCTATATACGTCCTAATTATTTCAGTTTGGGATGCCAGAGCTGTTTCCTGGATAGACCTGATCATCCTTAAACAAAAAGAGAGGAGGCGCACACGTGGGTTGTGGCGTAAATGTCACTTTCATTTCCAATGCTAGGCGCCGAGTAAGACAGAACATTTTTTTAACACTTTGACAAGAGGGGAGGCGATCTCGTCTCCATCATGTCTTTCTGCTTCAGTAGCTTCCTCAAGGAAACCCTCTTGGAACAGAGAAGCATCTGTCCTTGTATTTTGAATAGAAGAATAAAAAATCAGCCTTTGCCTTTTTTTTTTTTTTGCATTTTCTCTGCTAGCTGTATGTCCTTAGTAGATACAAATTATTAACCTTCCATCATAAACTTTTCTGAAAGTCTAATGCAATAGAATTTGACACACAACCCCAATACATGTAGTCCTCCCGCATAATCTTCCTTTTTTTTTTTTTTTCCAGGGGAGGAGAACCTCAGAAGGAAATAGCCTACGTCTGCGGATTATGGAATCATTTTTGAACTAGATACCAGACCTCTCTACAACAGCTTTCTAAGGGAGGGGGAAAGAAAAGAAAACCCTCATATTAACTTTTGTCTTAAAGTAGGACAAACTGCACATGCATCTTGACTCATGAGCACTATACAATTCTCCTTTGCAGCTCTAACAACCCCTCTCAGAGTACCTGGCACCTTTATGGTTCGGTCCCTGTGTGTCACTTAATTTCCTCTAATCCCACCTTTAATCATAAGGAAGAAGGACAAAAACAAAAACAAAAACAAAGTTAGATTCAATAAGTATTCCTGACCTTTCTGGTTTTTACTGTCTCTTGGTTGTAGTCTTTCATTCTCACATGCTCCCCGGCGATCTTGAAGGAGTTTTTACTTTCGGTTATCTAGCTTTATGAAGACCAATACACTCATACAGCTAGATAACCAAAGATAACAACTCACTTCCCTCACACGCCTCTGTCTTCCTCTGGCCAGATTCCAGATCCCGATCTCTCTGGCAGTACCGAAGAGTAGTCCTCCAGGACACTTGCCGAGCATAAGATTCCTTCTTGTATGTAAATATGACCTGGTTTCTGTTTGTGTGTGCGGCTAAAACATCCAAACGAGATCTGTTGCTTTCAAAGTTTATTCCGAACTTTTCTTTCCTTTCAGCAAGTAATCTCCGACAGCGTTAGCCAACAATTCATCTATTAATATCAAAAAATAAAACCAGCTATTAAGGTGCAGCAAGCGGTTACGAGTGAGCAGCAGCATCCGTCCCTCCACAGGCCTCTATTTGCATTGTAAATCGCTTCATTCTCACGCAAGACTCTTTAGCCTCCCTCTATAGAGATGTACAAAGCCAACGGCAATTTCCAGCGCAGGTTAAGGAGGAAGGAAAAAAAAAACATCCCATTCTATAGAAGAGGTGACAGCTGATTCAAGGATCTGCTCCTGATCCTTTTGGGTTAGGCACCGTGAGCTTTTTACCAAGCGGTGGCAGCTTGATTGCACATATCTCGTGTGTGTGTGTTTTAGGGGGAAGATCCTCGATTTCACAGGGCTTCTAGGCTGGGGAGGAGAAGATGCCGTCTTGCTGGCGTGCTGCTGCCCCCGGTCTGAAAGAAGGAGAAAAGGGCCATCATTGGTGGGGCTTTCACTGCCAAAATGTGGACCAGCCCGGCAAGGTCAAAGGTTCGAGACCGCGGGAGACCAAGGTAATGATGATGTCATGAGAAATCTCAAGTACACGGTTATTGATATGCATCAGTGATCAGCCAACTGCCCCACGCCTCCTGCCCGAGCAGCGGCAGCGGCAGCAGCAGCGGCGGCAGCATTGCTGCAAGCCCTATTTTCTCAATCAACATCTCTTCCGCTAGCACTACCGACTGCTCCAGGAAAAGCAACCCGCGGCCTTTTACCTCCTCGGTGCTAGTGTAGATCGCTCTAATATCCAAAGACTGGAAGAAATCTCTCTCTAAGGACAGATAAAAGCATTTCAGATCTGGGGAACGTCTTTGCCTGCATTTCTCTTCTGGCAGATTGCACGGGCAGGCAGATGGAAGGCACTTTGCTATTGCTTAAAGCAGGGCCTTGCTTTCTGGGGCTGGGAATCAGATCTGTATTACGCAGTGAGTCGATGTGTGATTACATTGACAATTTGCTCTGGTGGTGTGTTTTTAATGGCTTCACAGCTTAGTCATGTTTTGTATCTATGTGCCATGGCGATAGGGCAGCGTATTTTGTTTGGTCTGTAAGTTCAAACAGAATGCTCTAAGCAGGCCGACTTCATCCTGGGTTTTTTTTTTTTTTTTTTTTAATGACTCTGTATAGGGTGTGTGCCTTAGAATGTAGCACAGGTAAACATTGCAGCATTAGTTTCTACTGTTGTACCCAACTCTGCTGTAATAAAAATGCTGAGCCTTTGTTTGTAATTTCAAATGTCAGTTTTCATACAGAAGAACAAAATGTACTAGTCTTTTCTTATGAAATTATGAAAAAAGTATTGTTACCCCCATGGAAAAGACAAAACACCTGGGTGTTAAGAGCATTATACCCACCTTCCCCTTCCCCACCCCCACCTTTCTTCTATCTAGAGGGGAATAGCGTTTTAGTAATTAATTAGCCTCATTCCTTTCCTTAGGACTTTTCAAAGTGTAAATATGGTCACCTAAAAGAGCTCTTTTCTTCTTCTCCTTCATAATAGGTCATCTATGTCTAATACATCTATCATATGTACAGTTCTAATACTCAGATGGCCCTCAACAGTATGACTAAGGTGCAGTCCACATAAGATACATATTCCCCATGGGTGAACTTTAAGGATTGCTTTCCAAAATTAGGAGTCATGTTTGGTGATGTTACTATTCTTTAAAATATATGCTACAAGCAAATGCCATAAATCTTCATATTCATTTCACACATCACTAGTTTATCACAATACTCTCATTTCTTTAGGTTGACTATTTTCCCCAGTGACCAAAACACTTTCAGAATTAATATATATTCTTCCATTAATTCAATAATTTATTCTTGTAAGACATAAGCGTGAATATGCTTATCAAGTTACATACAGAACACTACGTAAATCCTACAGAAAAGACTGACGAGTAAAAAAAAAAAAAAAATTTCCAAGAAAAGCCCCAATCTAGAGTTCACACAATAATATCACACCAATTAAAGATACAATTTAGAAACACAGATGCCAACTTTCCCTTAGATTTTTTTTTATTCAGTTTTTTGGGTGAGCACTTGTGTTCTGATTATTTAGAAAAGACTAAGCTATGGTAATTGCTCATCTATTTTTCTTATCAAATCTTGGTAGAAGAAGTATGATCAGAAATGGCTGCATTGGGTTACATATGAAATGTACGTGCAAACTACAAACTAATTCAGAGAACCACACTCCCAGAGTTACTGTTCCTTCTTGAACTATGAGGTCACAACATAAACTAATGGACAGAATTGAACACATCACTGAGGCACATGCCACTTTGACATTATGTAAAACCATAATGAGCTTTGCTGCATTGGAAGATTGAGAGTATTTTGGCCTTGCTTTCCAAGACCTAGAAGCAGAATCATTAGTGTTTTGGCATGTACTACATAAAGCAAGCATATGATCAGATGAATTCAATTCCTTAAGTCAAAATCCGAAGAAATGGCAGATATTTTTAGAATATCTTTTTGCCTTATATATGTCTGGGTGGGGGTTGGTGAAAGTAGAGAGTTGTGACACATGTATGTCTGTGTATGTGTGTCACCCCTTATCTGTGTGAATTCGCAAATTAATGTGGCTATATTCCCAGATTTAACAATTAAATGCATTTTTAGAACCCAAGTAACAATCATGAAAGCCAAGACACTGAACATTTGAAGTGTTTCTACAATTAGAAGCTACAGAAAATACTGTCTTAAAATAGCATGTTCTAAAGCAATGTCACATAGTCACATCACCTGACTCCAGGACTGGCCCCCCCATGCATGCCACAAACACTGTAGATTCATTGTGAGACAACCCCCCCCAAAAAAAAAAAAAGTGAAAATAGCCAACATAAAGATTATGGGCAGTCTGTCCACCAGCTATCTAGCCAATTAAATATTTTACCTCTCCACCCTCTTTCAAGGTATGGAGAAATAAAAGATCCACAGCAAGGCTTAACACTGAACACCTGATTATTTTGAATATTGCCAAGGTTCAGGTCATGGTTTATCATATACATTTCAAGGACTTTACTATCACTTAGGATGTAAGACAGTTGAAACAATTGGGCTGAGTCCTAGCAATGCCTGCCATGCATTGTTATGAGCAACTATTAACACCTACATGTTTTCATTTCAGATATTTTTGGTTTTCAGAAAGCTATTTATCTGAGCACAGAATACCCTTTTTGAAATCTGCATATTGAAGGAGATACTGAATTCAAATAGCCTGCCTGCTCATTCTCTAATAAATTCCCATTAATGGCCAGTAGATTAGGACGTGATTGTCATGCTTGTTTTCTAATCTTTTTATAGGTCTCCAGATGGCTGAAACATGAATTGAAACATCCTGGTTTTCTTGGGAATAAACAAATCTCTGCTTAAGTTAGAAGTGAAAAGTTATGATTTTTTCCCACATTTGGATCAGAATTATGCTATTCCATAAATGCAAATAACCAGGTTTGCCACTAATATTTAGAACACCTCTCTGAATCCTATTCAGACTACTGCAGGGTACGTAAAGAATTGGCCAATTACTGATATCCCTTTTTAATACTTGGTTTGTAGATTCTAATGTAAGTAAACCACAGTCCACTAATACAGTCAAGACTACCATTTTCTACATAAAAGCCATTTAATTTACAGCGATTTGTATAGTTCAGGCGAGGTACTTGACTGGCTTACTTTCTAATAAAAGTGTCCTATTATGTCCTCTGTATCCTGAATTTCATTTTTATAGGCAGTTACAGGTTATGTTTGCTTTATTCTTGATATATAGTATACAAAGGCTACATATAGGGGAAAAAAAACCTGCATATAGGGAAACTTGTATTTTTCTGGAATTGTATCTATTGCATGAACTGGGACATATGCAATACGCTGCAGGCCCACCACCTAGCAAATGATACTCTATTTTGACTTTGTATATCATTTTGATTTTATCAAATGTAAAATTGTAATTTACCTTTGGTTGGTTGTATTGTCTATTCATTTTATGCTTCTTCGCAGTCTCATCTGAAAAACAGTCAAGAAAACAAATGATCACAGTTTTAATACATACATAGATCTCTATAGTCATGTTTAGATTTGGCATCATTTTAAAGTATTGCAATTACCATGATCCCTTAAAATGCCAAGAGATTACAGAAAACCCCAGTACAATGTGTGCTGGGCTTCAGCACCCACAGGGTTAAATATGCTAATTTGCATTTAAATGGAGACATGCATGATAATGGGAATGCAAAATATGCAGAATCTGGAGGGGTTTGGGAAATTAATTTTTTTCTTTCTTCTTTTCTTTTATTTTTAGCTTGGAAGGAAGAGGGACCCTTAAAAAAACATTAGGGATTTGAACACTGTAACCTGCTATACAAAAGACGAGGGAGAGTTCTTCCCTGTAAGAATTTCAAGACTGGAACAAAGTCGTATTTTCTAAATGTTTCAGGAACTGGATTTCCAGGCCTTTCAAACAATGGGAATCCCTAGATAAATATCTAATCCATTAGAAAGATGCAAATAGTTTACTGTAAGGCCACAGCACGGTGAGATGTGCATTCATATCTATGGCTCCTGATTGGCTATTTCCTTCAGTAAATCAATGAATAATGTAAAACCTGATTGCTGTAAAGTGGTGGATTTTTTTTTATTCCCTTCCCCCATTCCTTCATGATTCAATATTCAAGAAGTCTTACTCTCCCGAAAATAGGTTCCTTTTCTTTTATGATTTTTTTAATGTTTATTGTTATTTTGGAGTGGTGGGGTGGGGCTACTGGTCTTGCAAAATGAAAGTACTGCACTGGTTCAATTACGCTGACTATGGGAGCTCGTTTCCGAGACAGCGCCCTAATTACTGGTGGCAAGGTGGGGAAGGAGGGTGCTGGGAAGAGCTGGGCACCAGGAGAGGGAGGAAACTGGATCCGACCCTGCCATTCTGGGCCCAAGGCAGCCACAGCCCCCAAAGAGCCCCGGCCATGGCCATGACTTGACAGGGCCTCCGGTCTAACTTCTGATCAATACCACTGCTGCCCTGACCCCTCCAGACAGTCCCCCATTCAAGCAGCGCCCGTGCATTTGCAAGAGAAAACGCGGCCGACACTAATGCAAATACAGTGCCCGGGTTCCCACCTCCCCGCGTTCCCTCAGACAATTCCAGGCCACCGAAGGAAGGTCTCGGCTCCCTTCGCGAGGTCTGGGCTCCAGGCAAACTGCAGAGACCGGGCTCCCCTCAGATACCAGGAGCATCTGAAGCTGAAAGGTTCCAAGTCCCAGTAACTAACCGCGATGGCCGTTATCTCGATGCATCTGAACTTGGGATAACCCTGCAAAGCCGCCTCTGGCCTCCCAGAATCCAAAAGGCAAGAGAAAAGAAGGAAGTGGAAATCCACCAGGTCTAGTTAGCCTGCGTACATAAGTTTCCACCAGCATCCCAGTCCGAGCCTCACTTCATTGCCAGAGGACTGCAACTTTGAGGTGGTTAAAAGAATCATTCGAAATGCAAATCCTGGATCCAGGAACGCGACGTACAATTGCATTTCGCTCTAGGTTCAATAAGGAAAAAAGTCCCACCACCACCACCACCACCACCACCACCACCACGAAATTACATGCAAAATTCCCCTTCCCAACGCGAAATTTCCCCGGCGTCTCTGTGCAACGGGGGGTCAGGCCGCTGGGTAATTAACAGTTCTGGCTCAGACAACTCAAGAGATCAACAGGTTTAGCATCCGAGACTCGCAATCAATTAGCTGAAGCAAAGCCCCGGACTGGCCCTCGGAGCGGCCCGCGGCGGGGCTCTGCGGTCACCCGCTCGAGGACCGAGGGAGGAGCGCGGGCGCGGGGCGTGCGGCGGCCGCCGGGGCCCCGGGCCGCCCTCCGCGCTGCCGCCTGCGGGCCGCCCCGGTACTCACTTGCTCTCCGCCCTGCGCCAGGCGCTGTCGCCCCCCAAATCCAGCTGGGCAGGAATCGAGGCGCCGGCCAGAAGACAAGATCCAGTGTCACGGGGCGGCCGCAGCACACAAACAGGCTCCTTTCGGCGTCTCAAAAAAAAAAAAAGAAAAAAAAATTTTTTTTTCAGATCATTCCTCTCCTTAGCACATTTAAAACTGCCGCTCAATTCCACACGGTGATTCTTGCTTGATTGCGTCTAAAATAGTTTAAACGGCTCTTCCCTTCTGGGGAGAGAGAGAGAAGGGCGCAAAAGACGAAAGAGGAAAAAAGCCAACTTTTCCCCCCCACGCCAGGCACTTGCTCCCTGAGCCTCGGAGTGGAGAGTGAAGTGGTGTGTGCGAGGCTCGGCAAGTTTTTGGGGGGGCTGTCCAAGGTCTAGTCCAGCCCCCTCTGCCGAGGAGGACGTGCTCTGAAACTCAACCAATTTCCCCACTGCTTTTGTTACTGATGAACTGAAGCCCTATTGTTCATCCATTGCCACGGTCTTTTTCAGTCCTCACACTACGTTCTGCGTTGCCAGAGATAATGAATTTGCACCCAAACCTCTCATAGTCCCCTCCTGACAGACGGAACAAATTAGAAATGTCTCGTCTGAAGGACGGCAATGGCTACATTTTCCTATTGTAGGATGTAAAGCACACATTTCTTTGGAAACTTCTTTTGCCTTTTCTACCTTTTATTTTCTCTTCTCTCTTTTTTCTCTTTTCCTTCAGTTTTTTTCTTGATTTCTTTAGATTCTCTCTCTCTCTCTCTCTCTCTCTAAGAATAGGCCTGTCTTGTTTTTCCAATGCACCATTTTATGTAACTTGTGGATCTTTTCTATCTTCCTTCTTCCCTCCCCCCACCTTTTTTTAAAGAGCTCCCTTTGCAATTTTATTTACAAACTTGGAGAATGACCTTTTGACTTGCAGACTTTTTTTTTTTTTTTTAAAGAAAGGTCTTTTGGTTCAAGTCCCCCCTTCCTCACTCCTCCTCCCCTTTTTGTTGTGGTCAAATGTGTTTGGCCAAAGACAAGCAATACGTTATAGGGATTTTTATTCTTTAAACTCCAGAGCTATTCAAAAGGTACCAGGGAAGCCCTACAGGGGTTATCTATTTGAGGGGGAAGAAAAAAGCATGTGTGTGTGTGTGTGTGTGTGTGTGTGTGTGTGTGTGTGTGTTCCCGGGAAAGAGGCAGAGAGATGTGGGAGGGTGTGGGTGGGAGTGTGCAGGGAGAGAAGGGTGGGGGCCTGGAGGGAAAGTGGGCTTCCTGGAACACGAGCCGGGAGGCTGTCAGGGGGTGTAGGCGCGGGAGGGAGGGTGCAAGAATCCGCCGGGCCGAGGGCGGCTTGCGCCCCTGGGCCTGCCCGCGCTCCCGGCCGGCCGCAGCCTGGGCGCGGGTGTCTGCGCGCGCGGGCGCCTGTTCCGAGCCTGCGCGCGTGCGGCCGGGGGCGAAACGGGGGCTGTAAAAATTCAGGCGAGCGGCCCGTATGTAAATGCGGCCCGGGGGGAGCGGGGAGGTGGTAATGAGAGCCGCCGGCGCTCGGCCCCCCGGCGGCCCCCAGCTTTCCCGCCAAGTGCAGCCGGAGGACAGACAGCCATGCGTGTCCTTGGCGGGAGGGCCCCCGCCCGCTCGCGCGCGCGCCCGCCCCGCGCACACGCACACACTCCCCTCGCCGGCGTGGGGCCCGGTGGCCACGAGCATGTCAGCAAAACAAAGCTGGGGCTGCGAGGTGGAACGAGGAGGCGGCGGCCGCGGCGGCCAAGGGCAGCCCCGGGAAGCCCACGCCGCGGCCTCCGGCGCCCCTTCCTCGGCAGCCCGCGGCTCTGCCCTCCGCCCCGGGCTCCGCACGGCCCGGCCCGGCCCCGGCCCGAGGAGGCCGAGCACCGTTTCTTAGCTCCCTCGGGGAGGGGGAGGGGGAGGGGGTGGGGGCGAGCAGGCGCGGGGCCGGCCCCCGCCCGGTGCGCAGGCACGCACACGCCGGCGCGCGGGGCCGGGGGGGCGGGGGGTCGCCGAGGGCCTCCCCGCCGCGGCCCGCTCGCTACCTCGTCGCCGGGCCTGCGGCGCTCCCCGAGACCGACACCGGGCGGGCGGATCCGCGAGGCAGCGCCCGGGGCTGCGGCCCAGGAATGGCTCCCCCTCAAAAGCCCTCCTCCCACACAGTGTCATAGGAAGGGCCTGGCTGGAGAGCGAGAGCGAGCGCCTTCTCTGACGCACCCGCCTCCCCAAATCGGTGGAACTCGAACTCCGGCCCAGGAGCTCCGGCCCAGGTGCTCCGGCCCAGGTGGCCCTGTAGCGGAGTCCTGGAGGCGGCCTTGGAAGAACCGCGAGCTCCGCTCCTCTCTCGAAGCGCCTGCCTTGGTGCTCACCAGCCTCAGCACCTCCTTCACACACACACACACACACACACACACACACACGCGCGCGCGCGCGCGCACTTCCATCACATCACAACGCTGGGAGCATGGCAGTCAGGGGAGCCCACGCGCTCAACGAGCGCGCAGGTACAGAGGTGCCGACACCAGGAGCTCCCGCCGGCTGGCGGGGCGATTTACCGCTCCCTACTGGAAACAGGTGTAGCTTATCGTGGTCTAGGGATGATTTGCTGTCGTCTGCGGTCTCCCCAACCCCCCGCCCCCGCCCTCTTCTTGTGCTGGAGAAGCCAGAAAATAAAATAACCCAAAAAAAGACAAAAACTAACCAAAAAAAAATTTTTTTTCATGTTCCATTGTCGGAGTCTTCTTTCTGATAAGCTCCCCGAGCCGTGATCTAAAACACCTGGGGGCTTGCTTCGGTTGGTGATCTGTTGATTTCGGTTTGTTGTTTCGGAGTGTGTTGTTTTTCTAGGGGGAAGCGAAAGAACGTGTCTTTGGTGGGGCTGGCGGCGCGGGGCAGGAGCCCGCGTGCGCGGCCGCGACGCTGGCGAGGCCGGAAGCCGGGCGGTGGCCGGGGGAGGCGCTGCTCGTCTCCCCCGGGGGCGGCTCGGGGCCCCCCGGCCTCCTCGGGCCTGGGCTCGGCCGCCGCCGCCGCCGCCGCCCGCACCCGCGGGCTCCGCCGGCCGCGGCTCCGTGTTTTCCCCCATCCCGGCTTCACGTTCAAGGTTTAGCTGCGAGGTCACGTCCATTGACGTCAGCTCCCTGTCTCCCTCTACGTCCGGCTACATTTACATACATCAAGGAAATTAGGGCATTAAAAAAATATGCAAATCCTGCGCGGAGAGGAGCCGGTGCATTCCTGGCGCGATCGCCTTTTATTGAAGCTTTTAATTAAAGGGGCCAGTTGGCGAGCCCCTGAAACAACCGCCAAAACCCCCAAAAGAGAAAAATAAACGCTGTAGCCTTCGGGAACGGTTGTTTCGGCTCCTGTTCTGTGGGCGGCTGAGGACCGCCGGCTGCCCGGCTCGGAGAAGAACAGGTTAGAGGAGGCAGCTCCAGCCCATGCATAATCAGGGCTCCGCGGCGCCTCCATTCTTTCCTCCTCCTTCTCCTCCTCCTCCTCCTTTCCTCCTCCTCCACCTCTCCTCCTCCTCCTCCTCCTCCTCCTCCTCCTCCTGCTCCCGCTCCTGTTGGTTCCAGCGTGTATTATTTTTAATACTGATGCATATGTAAAGATATATTTGCATTTTTTAATTCGCGAAAAGTTCAGGTTGTATCGATTTATTGATTTCCACCCTCTTCTTTTTTTTTTTTTTGCTATCTTGTTATGTCTATCTGTCTCTCTTGTCCCTTTCTGTCTGTATTTTTTGGCGAGTGTCTGCTGCTGTCTCTTGCTAGATAATATGCACAGTTGCCTCCCTGCTTCTGTGTATTTAAGGCTCCAAATATGCACATCTGTCATGTATGTAATGCCAGCTGTATAACCTCCTGATTTGGTCATGAAAGAAAAGACACTTTTTTTTTTTTTCCTGACATACCCCCTTGGTCGATGTAATGCCCATCGCTCAAGGCTCAAAGTTTGATTATCTAATTAACTTCATATTAGCAAAAACACAGTTCGGGCCAGTGGCCTTTGAGATAATGTATGGTATAAAGGGAAGTGACTCCAAAGATTTCTAAAGAATTTTTGTGTTGATTAACTGAGAGTTGCGACATTCGGTACCCTATTGCCTTATAGCATTTCTTATTGCAAAAAAAAAAAATCTATTTTAAAATGTGTAGACACAGCAACCGACAGCCTTCTGCAAGGAAGACATTTTCAACCATGTTGTATGTTGTACCTTATCTGCTGCACTCAAAATTTACTGAGTTTCATTTTTATCTTATGTGACTGGAAACAGGCACATTATCTGGATTGAAAAGCATCCTTAATTCCGGACTTTAAAATGAAAACAAATAAACAAAACAGTTGACTATATTAAGCCAGTTGATTTACCCTAAACTATACAGGCCTTAAGTTAGATATCAAGCAATGGTAATCTTGTTTATAGGGCCCGATTTTCCTTCCTGGCAATACATCTATTCAGCACAATGGCTTTTGGAAAAGATATATGTACCAAGTCCACTTTTAAAATTCCCCCAAAGCTATCATTTTTAAAAGACTGAATCCATAATTGCATAGCCACAAAGAACAGCAAGTATGCACACATGCAGCTTATTCAATTAAACAAGTCCAAGTACATGCACAGGTAATTAGTTTTCTTATGAATGACTTACCTGCACAGATACTCAGGGCAAGATTCAGCCCTCCCCAAAGGCTTTCATGTATAAATATTCACATGTATTTTCTCCCATTTTAAACCTACAGCTGTATGCCATCTTTCATGCTGGACTATCCAGCATCCATTTTTAGCGCCCTTAATTCTTGTGGCATTTCCAGCCTTACCTCTGGCTGTAGTTTTTCCAAGCCTACACCAAAGTGCTCATATGATATGTCACCCAATAAAAAGTGGTCAGATGGCCACACGTAAAACATTAAAAAACGGCAACACACTCATCCTTCAGCTTTGCCCTTACCTTGCCATACATAGCAAGATTACCTTTCCTAAAGTACGTTTTCAGCACATTTTATGAATAGCGCAGGATTTCACAACTGGTTGCAGAATTGCCGGTTTGGGGGGGGGCGGGAGAAGGGGGGCACCTGGCTGAGCGAAACAATTCG